CCCCGCCCTTGCTGTACAGAGCAGAGTTTGGGGCCTGGGCAGGGGTGTTTCCTGAAGTTCCAGAGATTCAGGTGACATCCTCCCCATCTCAGCTGCTCCCCAGGTGGGATCCATCCTGGGAGCTGGGAGGGATGGGACTGAGGTTAAGGGTCAAGTTCATCTCCCCTACCACAAATACTATCTTGAACAGTTGGGAGGGCTTACCAGGAGTGCCCTTTTGCTAACATATATGAAACTGATTTGGGATGTTAATTTTATACATTACTATATACGTGAACTGCCTGTCTTCTTAAATTAATTAACTTTAAGTGCTCAGTTTTATAACAATAATTCATAAAACTATGAAGACACCACTTTCGTTGGTTCCAAAACATTTTGCCCTAGAATGAAACCCCTGAAGACCCTAAAAGAAAGTCCCCTTGAGTATCCTGCTTCAGCCTGGTGACCAGCAGCCCCTTTCCATCTGGACATTTCCTCAAAATGGAATGGCTCAGCTTGCACCTGTGCATCTACGCACACTTGCAGGTTTTTAAAGTTTATTCTTAAATATTTGTTTGCTTATTTATTTGAGACAGAGTTTCTCTGTGTAGCTCTAGCTGTCCTGGAACTCACTCTGTAGGCACAGAGAGCCACCTGCCTCTGCCTCCCAAGCACTGGGATTAATGGAGTGCACCCCCACCGACTGGCTAGTTTTGTGTTTTTTTTTAATTTTTGAAAAGTTTATGTTCATTGGTGTTTTGCCTGCATGTATGTCTGTGTGAAGGTGCCAGATCCCCTGGAACTGGAGTTACAGACAGTCTTGAGCTGCCTTGTGTGCTGGGAATTGAACCCGGGTCCTCTGTAAGAGCAGCCAGTGCTCTTAACCACTGAGCCATCTCTCCAGCCCCTAGTTTTGTTTTTCATTTAAAAACTTTAAAGTTTTATTGAGTGTGTTGTGCACCTGTGCCATGGTATGAGTATGACGGTCAGGGGACAGCTCCGTGGAACCAGTTCTCGCCTTCCCCCTTTACACGGGTCCCAGGGATCGAACCCAGGCTACCAGGCTTCATGGTGAGGACCTTTATTTACCCTCTAAGCATCTCACTGACTTCATGTTGGTGTTAATTTTTTGTTTTTGTTTTTTCAAGACAGGGTTTCTCTGTGTAGTTTTGGTGCCTGTCCTGGACCTCGATCTTTAGACCAGGCTGGCCTCGAACTCACAGGGATCCACCTGGCTCTGCCTCCCGGGTGCTGGGATTAAAGGCGTGCACCCCCCCCGCCGCCCCCCCACCCCCCCGGCGTCCTGCTTCTCATGGGAAGTACACAGACATGAAATATATCATTTGGTAAACACATGATGGTAACATAGCTCGCCTCTGTGTTTTATTTGTTTGCTTGTTTCTTTGAGAAAGGGTCTCAGTGTATAGTCCTGGCTGGCCTGGAACTGGCCATGTAGACCAGGCTAGCCTTGAACTTTTCACATTCCTGCTCCTGACTCCTGAGAGCTGCAGGAGGCATGTGTGTGCCACCACACCTGACTTCCCTATTTTCTTAATTTTTTTAAGTTACATCTGTTGATTTACATTGTGTGGGGCAGGGTAGGCGCACGTACACTACAGCACACTTGTGGGATCAAGGACGACTTGCTGGGTTCTTTCCTTCTACCATGTAGGTCCCAGGGTTCAAAATTGTCAGGCTGGTGGCAGGTGCCATTACTTGGGCTTTCTTTTAAAGTTTCACATTTCTACATTTGTGTGGAGTCATCCACACTTGCTATGCTCATGACTTTGCTTTCTCTAACCTTGAGTCTTTCTTTTTCTTTTGATTTTTCAAGACAGGGTTTCTCTGTGTAGACCAGGCTGGCCTCGGACTCAGAAATCTGCCTGCCTCTGCCTCCCCAGTGCTGGGATTAAAGGCGTGCGCCACCACCTAACCTTGAGTTTTGGTCTTCCTCTGGCTTCACCACCAACCCCTCGGGGTCCCCTCAAGTCCAAGGGATCTCACCAGGTTCCACTGTGGTACCTGGCACATGAGCTGGCCCTAGTTCCTCCCCTACTGGCTTCTATCCACCCTTCCACCCTCTGAAAAGCCTGCCAGGGCTGGGCAGAAGTGTTGGAGCCCATTCGGGTTTCCTCATGGCTTTACCCAGCAGATCTGCATAGAGAGGATGATTGGACCGTGGGCCTGAGTGCAGGTGTCTGAGATGGTCTGCACTTGGCTGTGCTGGGGGGAGGCCTTTTGCTCCACCCCTTGGCATGTCTTTAAATACGCTAGGGCAGAGACAGTCGAGGCCCGATGGATTAGGATTCAGACTCTCTTGAGGCTATCCTCTATTTCCTATCTGTTTCTCCCCCCACTATCCTTCTATCTAGTATTTCCTGCTGCTCCTACTCAAGAGTACTCTAGGGGAAATATGGGGGTGAGGGATGGGCTCCCACACGGAAGCCTCCTCTCGGCATTCATTGCTCCCTAAGCTTTCTTCTGGTGTGGATCTGCTCAGGGTTTTTCGAGACAGGGTTTCTCTGTGTAGCTTTGCGCCTTTCCTGGATCTCGCTCTGTAGACCAGGCTGGCCTCGAACTCACAGAGATCCGCCTGCCTCTGCCTCCCGAGTGCTGGGATTAAAGGCGTGCACCACCACCGCCCGGCCTAAGGATGATCTTAAACTCCAGCTCCCAAGTACTGGGATTAGAGGCTGGCTCCACTTCACCCAGTTTATCAGTGCTAGGGATGGAACCCAGGGCTTCATGAATGTTAGGCAAGCACTCTCCCACTCTCCCAGTTGAGTCACGTCTCCATATTTCTTTGTTTGTAGTACGGAGAACCTCACTTAAAGAGACAGGAATTTTGTCTTCTATTTATCCCCTGTTTTCCTCCTGCCTAAAAAAGTGTCAGCCCTAGGGTTGGGGATTTAGCTCAGTGGTAAAGCGCTTGCCTAGCAAGCACAAGGCCCTGGGTTTGGTCATTAGCTCCGGAAAAATAACAACAAAAAAGTGTCAGCCCTTATGGAGGCTCTGTGTTTTTTGTTAGGCATGCTAGGTTAGGCAAGTGCTCTACCACTGAACTACATTCCTGGCTCCATGTTGAATGTTGAATGTTGTGTGTGGAATAGAGTGGATTAGGTTAGAGCAGAGCTAGAAGAACCCAGAGATCCAGGCTACAGGCCAGGCCTTTCCTCCTTTCTGGCCTTCCCTAGTTCTACTCTAGCCTGGGAGTAGTTTGGTGAGGTCTTGTGTGTGGAGGGTGTCTTAGCTGTCCCGTGGTCCTGCCTCGGAACTCGCCCATCATGTCACCCTTCCTACCCAGGAATGGTGTCATAGGTGCCTCACCAGAGCAGGGAATGGCGCTGGCCAGGAACACCTCAAATGGCCTAGCTAAAGAGGGGCTCGGGCCTACTGTTGCTTATAGTTCGAATGGGGTGGATGTCAAGAGAATTTCAAGGTCACACAGCGAATTGGCAGCTTTGAGGACCTAGAACCTAGTTCTCTTGCTGGCAATGAAGCTCCCTAAATTCAAAGTCAGATTGCCTAGGGGCTGGGGACTTTCTGGCTGGGCCCTGCCTGACAAGACTTGGCCAGACTGATCCGGTTCAGGGCAAGGAGGAGGGGGTGCACCTCTCTATGTTGACACACTCACAGGGAGAAGTAGAGGACACCAAGTGTCATCCTGTGGCCTAAGGACACTGACTCAGGCAGGCCATGACAAGGGAGCAGGGTTCACTGTGAGTCACCCCTATTTCTCTACCCGCCTCTCCAGGGAGAAACTCCCAGGAGGTTTCAGGGACACGCGTCAAAGGCTCCTCCTATCCTGAGGCAAGAGGCCGGTCCCAGGAGAAGAGTAGAGCTTCACCAGTTCACCTCTTGCTGAGACAAGCAGCCTCCCATCTAGGCAAAGGGCGGGCAGAAGCAACTCAAGCTCTGCTCCAAGAAGTTTCCTTTTCCACCCAGCTTGGGTTTCGGCCTGTTTGCTGATGTCGGGAGGTGTAACTGGACGGGGCTGGCCGGAGCCTTTGAGGATGGACAATAAAGCCATGATGAAAATGATACTTGCCTTGTTTGATCCAGACCAGCCAGTGTGCTCAGCATTCCGCCCCCCCCCCCCATCATTTCATCTTCCCGAGGAGGTGTAATTAGTAGCCCCATCTTAAGAGAGGAGGGAATGAGGCAGAGAGGCAGCGGAGTGGTCTGTTCAAGGGTTCCCAGCTGGCACGTGGCAGGGTGGGCCTGGAACCTGTGTGGAGGGGCAGGGTTTACTCTTCCAGACAGGTTCCCTGGAGGCTCCCCTTTCTCTTCTGTAGCTAACTTGTACTCTCTTCACTATTTCCAGGAAGCCGTCGGTGGTCTGTGTTCTCCCAGAGCCTTGTGCTTATACGCCCTGACACTGCTCTGCTGCCTGGAGTCCCAGAATCCCATGCACAAATGAGTCCTTTTGGGAAGGACCCTTTGAGTCTACCAGAATATTTTTTATTTTTATTTTTTTTTATAAATAAGCTTGGTAGCAAGTGACCTTACCCTCTGAGTCATCTCTCCCTGGCCCCAGAAAATTCTTTCTACCCCTTTGTTGCAGGAAGGGCCCCAGGCAGCTCCCCTCGGTCCTCTAGATCTCCCTCACACCTCTTCAGAGCCACTGAGCGGTTTGGGACTAAATGGAGGTCTGAATGTGTGAGGATGCATTGCCCAGACCCTTCATGTCCAAGTATGTGTTGGGATTGAGATCGTGGTACCTGCTGAGTCAGGACCTGTGTTTACAGTAGTATAAATAGTGAATGGCTGAGATGCCATCTCAACCCTGTCCTGGGCCCCCTGTTGACAGGCAACCTGGACACGGGGCATAGAGATAGGCTAGCCTTCTGTCAGGACCTCTGTGAATGGCTCTGTGTGGACCAAGACCTCCCTTTGCTCATAGGCTCTGTGGAAAGAAAATGGCCAACAGAGAGGACTTGACATCAGGGCTGCTGGGACCCTGTCCAGAAGTGGATGTTTGGCTTCAGTTTTCTTTCTCTGTGTGTAGCCCTGGCTGTCCTGAACTTCGTAGACCAGGCTGGCCATAAACTCTGCCTCCCAAGTGCTGGGATTAAAGGAATGTACCACCCCCCCTCCCCCCAAGCTGGCTTTGAGTTTTCTAGCTATAGTTCATGTTTGGGTGGAGAGGGCTGTACTGGCTTGTCTACAAAGTGTATCTATACAGAACTTACCCACCTTGCCCCTAGTTTTTCCTCCCTGGTACTCAGTTATAGTCATTATCTACGAGATGCCACACCTGTAAAGGCAGGCGCCATGGTTCCTCCTTCATAGGGCCCGACGCTACCCACCGCTGATGAACAGAGTCGGACAGGACTCAAAACCTCAGCTGACCATTTACTAATTTTGTGAATTTAGGGAAGCAACCTAACTTGGAACCCACTTCTAAACTCTAAAGTAGATAAAATGGCTTTACCACCGGGCTGCCATGAGAATGAAATGATTCAATGACAACCTTCACAGACACCCTGCCCAGTCCCGCCCAGGTGCCCCAGGCAGTAGTAATGTGCGTGCCCTAGGTTAGGAAAGGACAAGGAAGTGGCTGCCTTTGAGCCCCTGACTTAGGCAAGCACCCCAGCCGGAGGTGGGGCTGAGGGGTGGCGGCCCTGACTGCGAACCAAGCGCTAGGCTGATGAAGAGAATCTGTTTTGAAAGGCCCACACTACAGGAGAGGGAGGCATAAATACCAGATCCAAGCAGGGTGGGGGCATTCATATCTTCTTCCTCCAAGGAACAGGTGGCTCCTGAACAATCCTCCCAGCCTGGCCGGACCCCATACAGGTGAGGGACAGGGGAGGGAGGGGTGGGAGATGGCAGCTCCTAACCCAGGAGAAGAGTGTGCCGTGTGGAAGAGGACTGTGGGAGTGGGCACACCAGAGGGAGACGAGGTCAACTGTGTCTACCCAGAGGGGAGTCACTGTGAGGGTGACTAACAGTCTCCTGAGCCCCACAGCAGTGGCCATCTCTCTATTCCAAAGGGACCCCAGAAACAAAACAAGCCAAGAGTAAGCAGGAGGCTATTATATATCATGCTTTTAATACAAACTTAAAAAAATCTGGAACAATATAAACTGTACAGATTTGATCAATCTTTGTTTTGAAACTAAATCTCTAAACACACCAATGTCTCATTCCAAAATATTGCACAACGTTCTGAATACAAAATGTCTTGATTGCATTCTTCCTTCACTAGAGAAAAAAAGGTCATCGCCCTGCTCCCGGGCTCCTCTCTATGGCTGCCTCAATGCCTGTCCCCACCCCTAGGGAGAGATGCTTCAGCATCAAGAAAAGGACAGCACTCTGGACTGACAGCTGACATTCTTTTTTTTTTTTTTGTTTTTTGTTTTTTCAAGACAGGGTTTCTCTGTGTACTTTTGGTGTCTTTCCTGGATCTTGCTCTGTAGACCAGGCTGGCCTCGAACTCAGAGATCCACCTGTCTCCGCCTCCCGAGTGCTGGGATTAAAGGCGTGTGCCACCACCGCCTGGCTTGACAGCTGGTATTCTTAACAAGATAATCCACCTTCAGTTTTGCTCCTGGGTGAGAGGGATAGAGAGGATGGGGAAAGGGAGGAAAAGGTTTTATGTTCCTATTTTTTAAAGTTTGTTTTTCCTGAAAAAATATTGGTTTCTCTCCTCTTAAGAAAAAAATCTTGAAAAGAAAAAAAATTATGTTTCTTACATTAGAAATATACATATATTATATATACCTCTTACATTTTACAAATGTAGCAAATTATTCAATACAAACGGACACCAAAAAATGTAAAAAATAAAAAAAAAGTTTTTCTACGAAACCAGGTAAATTAGTGCAGAGTTGTTTTTTTCTTAAAAAAAAAAAAATAAAATTGAAGCAAAAATGCCTAGATTTGCGATGAGACACTGAACTGGGCCGAGAGCCGAGTGCAGAAGTCACGTTCCTGAACACTCATTTTTCTTTCTACTTCCAAAGACACAGGGGCTGGGCTCCAGTCTCCCGGTGTGAGGAACAAGCTGGCTTGGGTGCAGGTGGTACCAGTGTGCATGTGGAGGAGGGGCTGGGAATGGGGGTAAGGCAACACCCAGCTTGTCCCAGAGAGGTTCTTCACCCGGGACTGTCACCTGTGTGGGCGCCGAGGATGAAGGAACAGGAGGCCCAGAAAGGGCAGGCTGGAGAAGACTGGGGAACAGATGGTGCTGGGCTGAGAACTCAGGGCCTTGCCCTGCGGGGGGAGGTAGAGCTAGCGCCCAACGCAAGGAGAGGGTTGGCAGTGTCTGTCTGGGCTGAACTCACTGCCACAGCAGTTCCCACTGGGAGTCCCTGGGGAGAAGGGGGGTGGGGCAGGGCTTCTCTTGTCTGCCCAGGTCACAGCTCACAGCATCAAGGTCAAGTAGTGCTAGGTGAGGGCAAGAGACCGGAACCAAGAAGTTCTCAGACGCTGCAAATGCATTTACACCTACAACCCCAAATCACAAAGTCTTATTCAAGGCTCAGTACTGCCCACCACAGGCAGCGGCTCCCAATCCCCTCCCTGTCCCTACCCTGGGCTAAGGTCACACAACAGAGTTGCTGAAGTCTAGGGACCCCTCTTAGGCATCAGGTTTGGGTTTCTTCCCGCCCTTCTGAGATTTTTTTATTTTTATTTTTTGGTCAAAAACAAACGAAAGTGCAGCTCCCTCTGCAGTCTGGCAAACCGGTTCCTTATGCAGTGCTTCCCTGGAGCTTCCTAGCTTGGCCACGCGTCACCCCACCACATGCACTGTCCTACAGCCTTACACACGGACAGTCGACCCTGGGCCCATCCCCCAGCCCTGCACATAACTAAGCACTTGTTGCAGCCCAGAATCACACCCGGAGAGGGAAGTTCCACGTGGCTTGGACTCCTTTAGACCACGACAGCAAGCCACCCACACTCACAGGCATGAATGCACACACAGAAACACATACACTTACCCTACCTCTGTTCTCTACCTTAACCTCGGCTCAGGGAACGCTGCACTGGAGAAAGAGGCTACGTATATCTTGTCCAGGCCAGGAGGGGGTGAGGGATGAGGCCACAGGACAGAAGAGAAGGATTCCAACTAGAAAAAAAAAGTGCTACCCTCCCTATAGTCACAGGTATTAGCTTTGGGGGAGGGTGTCAAGTGGCCAGTCAGCAGCTCCCTGTGACCCAGACTGAGGGGGAGGTGAGGCCGCGGACACAGGGCCAGCCTCTCCCTGCTCCGGGGGCTGTCTGGTTCCAGCTGCTGCTCTTCTTTCCCTGTGGGCCTGAACACACCAATCCCAAAGGAGCATGAAGGCGAGAGGGGGCAGCAACTCACATCTGGACCATTCTTAGCCCAGGAAACCACTAATTAAAGATGTCATATAGAAAACTACATATAACAACAAGAAAAAACTACAAACCCCAAACCAACCAAATGAAATCAGAGGCAGGCAGGAAATAGTCAGGGGCGGAGCCAGACACGACTTCCGCTTGGGGAGCCCCTCCTACTCCGTGCCGCGGCGGCGGATCTTTTTCCTAGATGTGAGAATGAGAAGATTGGAATCTCTTGTACAGTTTTCTTTTCCTCCTTTGTTTGGCCTCTCCTTTCTCCGTTCTGTGGTCGTGGGTGCTCCTGGCCTGGCAGACAGGAAGACCATCAGTTGGCCAGCACCACAGGCTGGAAGGGCTGGCTGGGGTACTGCATGGCGTTCAGGTTGTAGCTGAGGCCTTCGACGAAGGGCGTTTTCTCTAAGAAGAGGCTGTTAGCGCCACCTCCGAACACCTGAGACACGTCAAAGCTGCCGCTGTTGCAAGTGCCAGCTCCACTACTCCCAAAAGGGGCCGAGGTGCTGTTGCCCTGGCCATCCGCCCCATCAAAGAAGAGGCTGGGCGAGCCGCCGCTGCCGCCATTGTACACAAACTCCTTGGCATTGGGTGAGAGCTGAGACTGGGAGGCCGGACTGGCGGTGATGAAGTTCAGTGAATGCATAGACAAAGAGAGGCCCTTGTGCTTCAGCAGGTTGTTTGTGGGGGAGCGGGCCATGCGAGGCTGCTGCTGTGGTGGCTGCTGGCCACCCGCCCCACCGCCAGCCCCACTCACCCCACCGGACGCCCCGCCGCCCTTCTTCATCTTCGTGGAGCCAAACTTGGTGGCAGCAAAGGAGGCAGTGGTGAAGGTGACAGGCTGGGCGGACCGGGGGATGAAGGTGGGGCTGGGCGACTGGCCAAAGGACGGAGACGGAGAGCTGGACAGGGAGCCGTCCTGGCTGCCGATGGGCACAAACACCTGGGCATCAGGGTTGAAGCTGCTCTTGATCTCCTTGTCCAGCTCTGGGGCACCACCCCCCTCGCTGTCATCCAGGTACAGGACTTTCACAGTTCCCTTCTCACCAATCTGGTAGGACACCTCAAAAGGGTCAATCCAGACACTCAGCTCTTCGGGCACATTGGCACGCACATCCTCCACTGCCAGACCACTCCGCTTGGCAGCCAGCTCCACCACGGGGTCTACTGTCTCCCCAATGTGGACACAGCGGAAGCCGGAACCCTTCAATGGCTTCTCAGGGTACCAGTGGCCTTCATACTTCTTTTTCAAAAGCCGTTCTAGCTCCTCCCCAAACAGGTCTGCCCGGCGCCGGGGCAGCTTGTTGTATAAATAGGAGATGATGAAGTTTAGGGCCACTTTGATCTCCAGCTGCATGATCCTCTCTGAGGCAGAGAGTCAGAACAGGGCTCGTGCACAGGCCAAGAGCGATGTCGGGAGTGGAGGAGTGACCCTGGGATCCAGAGGGTTCTGGGAAGTGAGAAAGAAGGAGAGGACTGTGGTGAGTACATCTGCAGAGAGGCACCCAGCATACACTACCCAAGTCGGGCCAGTGTGGTGACCAGTGACCAAGCACAGACAGAAAACCACGAGCTGCTTTGGACCACACAGATCCAGTGGTACATTCCTTTCTTTCTTTTTTGAGTCTATATAGCTCTGGTTGGCCTACAACTCACTATGTAATAGACCAGGCTAGCCTTGAACTTGCAGTGATCTGCCTGCCTCTGTTTCCCAGTGCTGGGGTTACAGACATGCATGATCACTCCGGCTTTGGACAAATCCCTTTTTTCTAACCTTGGTTTCCTCATCAGTAGCCTGGGGTTCAAGGATAAAGCTCTCCCTATACTAGGTACTTAGCAGTCACTTAAAATAGGAGTGCGCTGTGCTTTCTACAATTTTGAGAATTCAGGACACTGTCGAAATGACATCAAAGAACTAAGGACTAAAACTAGGCCCCCAATCCAGCTGGATGCAGGAAGGCCCTTGCTGTCTCGGCCATGTCTCCATCAAGTTGTGCCCCGAAACTGTCAAATGCTGAAGACCTAACTTTCAAAATGTTAGCTGCCCTCCTTAAATTGAACGAGATACAGGTCACTGGACATGAAGGCGCACTGCCAACTTTCCACCCGGGCTTGGACTCCAGTCACATCCATCTGTCACCCTGGACCCCAGAGGTGTGCAAGCTTTGGGCTCAGTCTGAGTGTACAGAACCAATTTAAGAACTTGGTAGTGTGACCAGAGCTTGCATTTCCATCCGGGCTCAGTAACGGGGACAAAGGCATGATCCTCCAGGAAAAGGCAAAATCTGTCATAAGCACAATCTGTCAGCTCACAAGGGAACTGTTGGACCAGGGGCGCCTAGGGGACGTGCAGGAAGCGGACCTCGGAGGTGGCCAGGGCATTAAGAGAAGCAGCAGTGCAGCCTGAGGGAATCTCCACAGTTTCTGGCAAGGTTGAGAGTGAGGAGGATGGCAGAGGGAAGAAATTTTCCATCACTCTACAGCTTCCAGCTGGGGACCCAGCATCGCTCAGCCTCCCAAGGACTGTCTGACCACCTGTCCTCGGCACCAGATCAGATTTATCAAGTGTTTGGAGAACCCCGCAGAGGAGGCAGTCCAGGATAAACACTCAGATTGTTATTTTGGGATTCTTTCATAGCCAGATCCCACTGAGGTCAAAAAGCTTTATTCCCTAGGTCTGGGCAAGGCTCATGTTTCAGGAAGGTGATCTGTGAGGTCCTGGGAGCCCAAAAGGAACTCCTGCTTGGGGAGAAACTAAACTGGAAAGGCCCTCTCTATGGAAGGGGAAGCCAGAGCATGTCTCTAGCTAGACCTTTGGACAAGGCCACACTGCTGCTGAACTCAGCAGAGACAGGGCTGACCAATGACCCACACCAAGGGCGTCTTCTGTCCTGTGTGGGACTCAGGGCTGGATTTTGATTCATGCTCTTTCTGGTTCCCAAATGAAGTCTAACTCTAGGTTTGAGAATCTTGAGTTTTCTGAACATTTACTGTGACAGGTTATCATGTTAATTCTCAGGCTTGGACCCAGGACCCTTATGGGGCATGCAGAGAACAAATCTTCAGAAGACTTGTGGGGTGGACACCCGAGAAGGTACTCAGAGTCCATCTATGGCAGCACATAAGTCCCCCATTTAGTTATCCTCAGTCCAGGTCTGAGGAACAGATGGGGGCTGCTGCTCAGCATTCAGGGTACCCCAATTTCCCCTGTAGCCCGGCCTGCAAACAGGTCTGCTAGTCTCTTCAGATATCTACTCATGACCAAGATAGATTGGTTCTAGAGTCCCTTTCAGTTTAAAGAGAGAAGAATAATTTAAAAGAATAGGGGATGTCACACGCCTTTTATCTCAGCATTTGGGAGGCAGAGGCAGGCAGATCTCTGAGTTTGAGGCCAGCCTGGTCTACAGAACAAGTTCCAGGACAGCCAGGGCTACTGTAGAAAGAACCCGTTTAAAAAAAAAAAAAAAAGAATAAGGGGCTTAGTTGATGAGGATCAGAGTTACCAGATGCAACGCTCAAAGCTAGTTATTATACTGTGGACCTTCTCCCATATGGGAGCACAGGCTTTTCTTTTGTGTGTCGTGAGTGGAGGCCAGAGATACAGGTTTTTATGTTGCTCATGCTGGCTTTGAACTTCTGGGCTTGAGCTGGGCATGGTGATGTGAGCCTGTAAACTTAGCACTTGAGAGGTAGAAGCAAAGAAAACAGGAGTTCAAGGCCAGCTAAACTAAACCAAGAACTCTTATGTTCAAGCAACTCGTGCCTTCTGAGTTGGAGGTTTAAGAATAAAGGTTCAAGAGGCTGGAGATATGGCTCAGTAGTTAAGAGTACTTGCTGCTCTTCCTGAGGTCCTGAGTTTGGCTCCTAGTACTCATGACAGACAGCTCACAACACTCTGTAACTCTAGCTCCAGGGAATTTGATGCCTCTGGCCCCCTGAGGTACTTGCACTTACGTGGACATACCCACATAAAGATACACATATCTATGTGTAATTAAAAGTAATAAGTAGCCGGGCGGTGGTGGCACACGCCTTTAATCCCAGCACTCGGGAGGCAGAGCCAGGTGGATCTCTGTGAGTTCAAGGCCAGCCTGGGCTGCCAAGTGAGTTTCAGGAAAAGGCGCAAAGCTACACAGAGAAACCCTGTCTCGAAAAACAAAAACAAAAACAACAAAAAAAGTAATAAGTTAATAAAGAATGGAGGTTTGAAAAGACTATAGAGGTCCACTAAAGGTGTCCAACATGAGGAGACTAAAAAGCTGTGAAGAAAGTTGGCATCAGGTCTCAAGAAGAGGCGTACAGGTAAAGGTGGTGTTTCCAAAGAGTTTTTTTGGAAAGTAAAACAGACTCAATGTCAACACGACACTTTCTTCAAGCACTGCGGAGCCTCTAAAAATGTGCCTCTCTCTCAGTTACCCTCCCCAGAAGGGCTTCTACACCTTTCTAGATGTCCTCAGATCTTGCTGTGTAATTGTCTTCCAAGTTCTAACCCCTGAACAGTGCAGCCTCAAAATGGGAACACTGGAAATGTAGGCCAAAGTCATTGGGAAATGAGCCTCTCACCCCGAGACACACGGAACCACTGTCATCGTCCCCGCCTGGAGAACCAGTATTTGCAGCCTAAGCAGCTAAGGCTGCTCACCAGTTTATCCCCAGGGCTGCTGCGGCACCAACAAGGAAGCATAATGCTCCTTCGCCTCTTTAACGGAGGCCAGGCCAGGCCAGGCGACCAGAAAGAAAGAGCGTCTCTGCTCTATCAGCTCAGACTCTAATTTTGACTTCAAGAAGCTTACGGAGCAGAGGATTAAAGTCCTGGTCCTAGCCTGTCTTCGGCTAAAGATAGGAGTGACCATTTGGCTGAGTTTATTTTTTTAGGAAGCAATGGACACATTATAGCGCTTATATATAAAATATTTATGGAAGTGTGATGAGATTAGAAAGCTTAGAAATAACTACGCTTCAAAAAAGGAACAAGCAGATTTGTTGAGCAGCTGCAGAGGATTCAGACCTTTTTCAACAAAACACTAGAAAGGTAACAAGAAAAATAAAATAAAAAAAAAAAAGAGAGAGGGAGAGGGGGAGAGGGAGAGAGGGAGAGGGAGAGAGAGGAAGAGAGAGGTTAAGTAGCCTAGTGTGGTGCCAGCTGGGAGGCAGAGGTGGATCTCTGTGAGTTCAAGACCAGCCTGGTCTACCTACATAGTAAGTAACAGGCTAGTCAAGACTATATGGGGAGAAACTGTCTCAAGAACAGAGTGTTTAATAGTAAAACCTCATTTGGACAATGTACTAAAGAGTTGCAAGTGAGCTAAGGTGTGCAGTGCCTGTAATTCCAGCAGAGAAGGCTGAGGCAGGAGAGTCAGAAGTTCAAGGTCAGCCTGTGCTATTATACACACAACCAACATGGAAAACAATTTTCTGTCCCAATGCTTTTTTCCTCCTTCCCTTTTACTTCAGCCACGGGTTCAACCTGGACTCTGATCCTTTGTGCTGATGTGTATTTTAGTGTTTAGGGAGAAAGACAAAACAGAACACGAAAGGAGCCGTGGAGCTACACAAAGGTTTCATCAACGCTGATTCCAGAGAAACTAATACGAATGCAAAACAAGACTTTAAAAAAAAAAAAAAGGATCCACATTTTAGAAAGGGAAAAATAAGGGTGGAGAATCTCCACTCCCCCACCCCCAATTCAGGTATCTCAAATTCCCAACATCCTACAATGAATCAGTCTCCAAGATTTAGGTAAATGTGTGTGGAGGAGCGTTTTTAACACGGTCCAGAGGAGAACAGCCACCGTGGACAGAGAACCAGGCTCAGGCAGCTCCCCAGGGATCAGTGCTCAGTTCTCATCCCCAACTGGCAATATAGGTTGCAGGACTTCCAGGACACGTGCATCGGGCTTAGACCCCGACACCACCTCCGTCTGACAGCCCGGACCACCCAGGCCATACCACGAGAGTCCTGTCTAGGGCAGGGCTTTCTGGGGATCTCAGGACCTGAAAGCTCGCCTCACCCAAGGCGGCGCCGCGCTCGGCACTCTGGGAGCCGTAGTCCTCGGGCCTCCCGGCGCGGGCAGGAACTCGTGACCTACTTTTCGAGCACACTACACTTCCCTGCGCACTATGCGAGGACCCGGCCGGCTAGACCGCGCATGCTCGGCACCAGGAAATGGCCAAGGGTCCGAAGCCGAGGAAAAGTTTCCGATGCACATGCGCGCTGCGGCGAGGGGGCGCTTCCCCCTCCCACCGCCGAAGACGTTTGGCATCAATGTGCCCAGAAGGCCTCTCTCCGGCTAGCCTTTCTCCCCACGTCCGTGTTCGGGCTCGACTCCAGTAACTCGCCTCTTTCCCTCCATGACCTCCCGAGCCTCCTGAATAAGGAGCTCTCTGCGACTACGGGGGCTTTTCCTGGGTGGAGCAGGTGGGCTGGGATAGGGGCGGCCCCCTGGCTCCGGCCTCCTGCACTGAATGGACTGTCGCTGTCTAGGGTAGCTGGAGGCACAGTGTAGTATTCCAGGAGAAAAACGAGCCCTCCTCACTTAATACCCACTAGGCTCGGCTCCAGCATCCCCACCGTCAGGAAGGGAATGGCAGGAATTGGATCCGATTCTCCAGTCCCGTCGGCCAAAGAAATTTCCTAGTTAAGCTGTGGGGAGGCGCCCCGTCAACAATAAGGCCTGTTGGGATCCAAGCCTCACCCCACTTCTGATACAAGGCTGTAAGAAACCGGACCCAGGTAAAGGAAGTGGGAAAAGGTTCCCAGACAAGCAAGCACAATCCGTACATCTGAAACCTGCACATGTATGGTCTCATGCTCCCCGGGTCTCCTCCCACGGCAGGGCCTACCCTAGGACCAGACTGACCAGATCCTCTGTAAACCTCCTCTGCAGGGTGTTAAAGCTCCTTAATCCTGCCTCCCACACCAGCTGTTTCCCCAGTGCTTAAGTGAGGGATGGGGGCAGGCGCTCGAGCAAGCAACAGGGGTTTTAATTGTGGTTGTCAGGAAATCAAGGAGAAACCCACTCCGGAGTTAATAATAATAAAATAAAAAAGGTAAGAACTTAAGTGGCATCGGAAACCCTGCCTGCTGATCCTTCAGCCTGCTCTGGGAGGTTCTGGTTGCTCCCAGGAGAGAGGAAGGGGACGTTTTGTAGACTGACTGTCCATTCTCCCTCTTCCCTCCTTAGATTTTGGTCAAGGGCGCAGTACATCCTCCCTGGATAGAAGGGGAAGTTCAGGAATAAGAGCGATCAAACAGAATACACTACCCAATAGGCTCTCTGGGTACTTTTTTTTCCGCCCACACAAGAATATAAAGAACTCAACCGGCAATAAATTGTTAAGCGACCCAAGGGCAGTCTCCACTAACCGGCCCGGTCACCAAAAAGGGGGTGTTCTCTATCTCAAAGGTCCCAAAGAGCCAGAAACCAACTGTGTTAACAATCACCGCCCCGATTTCCCTCACACGGGAAAAGCAGCAGAAAAAACAAGGCTCGAATCCCCTTCCTCCCCCTAATTTATTTAACGCAGACCGGAGTTGGGTTTCTTTTGGGGGCACAAGGAAAACCTAGTGGGTGAGGCTTAGAGAAATGGGGAAGGAGGTCAGGGAGGAAACACACTCCGCCCAGGAGAGCGCCGCCTTCGGAACTAGGTACCCCAGGATCAAAGTGATGGGAGAGGGACCCAGAGGCGGATCTGGAGGGAGGCGGCAGGGGAGTGGACCAGTGTGGGCGCCCCCCGCCCCCCGCCCGCCCGCGCACTCACTCGGGTCTCCGCGACGGGGCGCTCTGCAGGCCGCGGGACGGAGGTCTCTCGCCCAGCCTCCCCGGCGCCTCGAGGCTGAGGGCCACGGTGTCCTTCTACGTCGTGGAGGGCTGAGGGGGAGACGAGGACCAAGTTCATGTGATTCTTTCCGCGGTTCTTGGAGGTCGAGGTCGGCGGCGACGGCGACGGCGCGGGGATGGCGGGCCCGAGGATGGCACCCGTCACGCGGTGGATGGAGGCCGGCCCGGGATGTGGCCGGCGGGCGAGTCCTGTCCTTCTGGCCGCTCAGCTCCGACGACGCTCAGCCCCAGGAACCACCAGCACCTTCCCGCGCCCCGGCCCGAAGTGAGCAAAGTCAATGAAAAGTTTCACCCTCAGCAACCCTGCGCATGGATCTGCTTTCCCCACCCCTGAGTGATGCGTCCCTCCGCCCAGCCGGGGCGGGGCTGGGACTATTTTTCCTTCCGTGAGGCCGGGACTACTTTTCTTTCCGTGGCTTCTTTAACCCCTCCCTCCCTAGCAGGCCAGTTGTGGTTTGGTTTCCCCAGATAACACGTGTGGAGTAGTAGCGATCTTCTCGTCGCGGATCCTCTAGACCCCGCCCTGCCGTGTCGTCAGTGGGGCTGCTCGCCCTCATGGTCCCTCTGAGCGCCTCCGCACCCCATTTCTTTTCTTAAGGCTCCAAAGCAGTCTGAACTTCCCACGTACGGTTTTCACCGGTGTAGACCAAGCGCAGGGAGGAGGGTAGGGACGAGCCTGAGACACAGCAGGCCATCAGGGATCAGCTCGGATGCAGTGGATGTCGCGGGGAGGGGCTGGCGTCACCCGGCCCCCCGAGGGCTCTCGCTCGAATCAGCCCCGCACCGGCCCCACCTCCCACGGTCCCCAGAGACGATGACGGCGCGACTCTCCAGTTCTGATGGTCCCCGTGGCTCGCACTCCCCGGTTCCGATCTGTTCTAAATTTGGGGAGATGGGGCACGACGCCAGATCTAGAATGGTCTGGATCTGAACCAGTGCTAACCAGAGTTTACTAGCGTCGCCCTCCTGGTGGGGACGGGAATAATTGAAGGGAAGGGAGGGGAGCGGGGGGGACGGGGGACGAGGAGATCGTGGGCCAGAAAAAAGGAGCGGAGCACCAGTGGACCATGCACTCTCATCCTTGAAATTTGGGTTCTAAACGCCAGATTAAAGCTCTGGCCACGCGCGGTCCTCGTTTTCTTACGGGCAGGGTGCCCCCCGCACGGGAGAGCACGAGAGCCACGCTCCTTCGAGCCATAGCCTAGTGGCAGAAGTGCCAGCCCTTGCAAGGCGTGCAGGGTGTTCAGCCCGACAGCGCTGGGCGGCGAAGCGTGGCTCACCTGGGCCCCCGGCTCGGACTTGGGTCACGCTTTCCACTCTGCGGCTTTGTGACAGTGCGGGCTCAGAGATAGGGGTGGTGAAATCTGGGGTGGGTTGAAGTCACAGGAGGACCGGACTGTTCAGACCACCAGGCTGGAGGGCCGCTGGCCCTAAGTGCAGCCTTTCCACCCCCCACCCCAGTCTCAGGTCGCTTATTTTCCTATTCTCCAACCCGTTTCTTTACTGAGGGCTCTGGCACAAGTGCAGCCTCCGAACCCACGTGGGGCGGGGAGATCGGAAAGTTACGAAGTGTGAACCTTGTGCATTTTATTTTCCTCGATCATTTTAGCAAGGGCAGAGAGCAACAGAGCCAGAGAAATTGAAATACGCTCTCCTGGACAGGAGGCGAGAAACGCCGGGAGGGAGGGCAAACTCCGCGGTGCCAGGGAGGTGGGAGGCAATCGAAGTGCATGCGTTCCATCCCCCGCACTCCCAGCTGGACAGCTCCGGGACTCCTCCTGGGACTTCCAGTCTCGTGCGTCAGAGAGCGTCATACACGCCCCTCTCCACTTTACCCTTCCCTTTCTGCACCCCTGTCCATTAGTGCGTTCCATCTATGCTGTGAGACCTCCCACCAGGATGAAAGCTAAAAATATAACAGACAAGTTAGCAACAGCCCTCCCATTGGCTCGCAAGCAGGGAGAGGCGGCGTCTGATTGGGTTTTGGCTACAGCTTCTGAGAAGCGTACATTTGCGTGGTATCGCAAGGCATGATGGTACTTGTAGTCGATAATTAGAAGCAGCCATGGTAATAGGTGTGTTTATATCCCGGTTTTGCCACCTAATGTGTATTCTCGATTTAATGTAACAAATATTCTCTCCTCCACACACTTTTTTTTTTTTTTTCCGAGACAGGGTTTCTCTGTGTAACAGTTCTGGCTGTCCTGGATCTCCCTATTGTAAAGGAGGCTGTTCTTGAACTCACAGAGATCCACTTCTGCCTCCTCAATGCTGGGATTAAAGGTGTATGCCACCACCGCCCAGCGCCAACAGCCGTCCTTAAGGCGCCAAATTGGTTTCTTCATCTCTGAAAACATGGAGATCGTGGGATTTAAACACTGTGTGTAAAGCTTGACTCAAACAGGTTTGTCTCCCTCCCCAAAAATGTCTGAATCCGCAAGTTTTATTTTTCATCATGATAAATTGGCCAAATTGCAGCCTATAAACCCTAGTTAGTGTGCATTTCCCAGTGAGAAACCTTCCAAGACAGAATGATGAGAGAGTTAGGATGAGCTGGAATGAACTGAACTGTCAACGGGTATCTCAAGGACTTGCTTATGCAGATAAAAGGCAGTTAGATGTGGAGGGCCATGCGGCCCTGTTTTTATTTAATGCTTTTATTTGAATTGGTCTTGAAAACATTACACACAACAAAAAACCCTGAAAAATCCCATCTCTTTGGTAAATGGGGCTTTTGGGTAAAGATTTGAGTTTATAAATAGGAAAGAATAAAATAGAGGGAGAGAGGGAATCACCCTTGTAAATTGCTGCTGCCTCGAGTTATGTGGTAAGGAGACATTTTCTTCTCTTCCCCAGTGTGTAATTTCATCTTGCCAGGGCTTAATTGAAAACTGAATTACTACTCAAGCATTCTGGAGTCTCCTCCCATTTGAATAACCATATGTTGAAAGACATACACCATGCTTTCACAAGGGTCAGCTCTGGCGCCTGCAAAGAGGTGAGAACTCTCCAAGAGCAAAGCAATCATGCCAGTCACTATTACTAGTAACAAGTAAAGCTGGTCGTAATTGGCTCAATTAATCCAAGATGAGTCACAATTTCATACACACACATCAGGTGAGATTTTTTTATATTGTTTCTTTGATGTCCTCCAAGAAAAGAGTTCATCTGTTTGATTCTTAACATCTACTGCCACTGCTGGGCAGAAGCAAGGACAGCCATGACAAAAATCTGAGTTTTGGGAAGGAGCGACTCTAGATCAATTCTGGTAAAGATGAGTACATTTAACCATTGTTTTGTTAAGACACCAAAAGGCCGGTCTCGAAAAACAACAACAACAACAACAACAACAACAAAAAAAAAAAAAAAAAAAAAAAAAAGGAGAAACACCAAAAGGCAGTATTCAAAGGAACAAACATTTTTAGCTTTGATGGACACTTAGGGACAGCATTAATAAGGAATCAAGTATCTAGTAATAGATGGAAATAATTTGAGGGTTTTTTTTGGGGGGGTCACAGGAAAATTACTGGAAGCAAAGAATTCTGAAGCTTTTAAAAAGCTACACATTAAAAACAGTAACACATCGTCTGTCTGAAACTTAGCCAGTCCAGTTTGATTTCCTTCCTTTACAAGCTGCTAAGCGAGGTGTAGCAGTGACTGCCCATTTCTGTCATCACAGTGCTCACAGTGTAAAGGCAGGATTGCCACAAGATGTAGGTCAGCCTGGTCTGGGAGTGAGTTCCAGAACCTCTAGGGCTCATGGCAAGACCCTGTATCCCGCAAAAGCTGCAATATGATAAAAATATAGTCTATATGTGTGTGAAATTCTCAAAGAATTAAAGTTGCTAATTAGAAGGCCAAGGTCAACATCTCGTGGATGTATTTTCTGATATATATTGACACATTGTACTATGGCTGCATGTTGATAAACAACAACGTCTTCCTGTGTCTGTATACACACACAGAGGTATATTTATACACTTTTTTTATATTACAAATATTTTTGTGTGCACATCTGTGTTCATTTGTGATGGTCCACACGTAGTGATAAGAGGGTAACCTACTGGAGCCTGTCGCCTGCCCTGGTCTACTGTTTATAGTGTGCGTGTTTATTTTTTTATTTATTTTTTCTTTTTTTGTTTTTTTTTTCGAGACAGGGTTTCTCCGAGTAGTTTTGGTGCCTGTCCTGGATCTTGCTATATAAACCAGGCTGGCCTCGAACTCAGAGATCCGCCTGGCTCTGCCTCCCGATTGCTAGGATTAAAGGCGTGCGCCACCACCTCCAGGCAAGTATGTGAGTTTTTAAAGATTTACTTATTTCTATGTGTCTTGTTTTGTTTGAACATATGTCCAGGTGTGCCACGTGGGTGCAGTGCCCATGAAGGCCAGAAGATATCAGATCCCCTGGGAACTGGATTTACAGATGGTTGTGAGCCACTATGTGGGTGCTAGGAATAGAATCCGATCTGAAGAGCAGCCAGCAGGTGCCCATGGAGATCAGAAAAGGGAGAGAGTTACTCTGGAACTCGAGTTACAGGAGGTTGTGAGTTGTGTGATATAGGTGATGATATAGGAAATGAACTCAGATTTTTCCAGAAGAGTAAATATTCCTCGCTTCTCCCCCCAAACAGGGTTTCTCTTTATAGCCTTCCTTGGCTGTCCTGGAACATGCTCTGTAGACCAGGCTGGCCTAGAACTCAGATAGATAGATCTGCCTGCCTCTGCCTCCCAAGTGCTGGGGTTCAAGGTGTCACAACAAAGCTCAGCCCAAAGTGAATTATTCTAATGCCCAAGATAGACCAAAAAAAAAAAAAAATTTTTTTTTTTTATCCAGTTGCTAGTTACTTGCTGTACTGGGGGTTGAACCCAGGAGCTAATAAATGTTATGCCAAAGAGCACTCTCCTGCTGAATGACCACACTGGAGGTCTCCCTAACTCATTCTATTTTCTCTCGGTCAGTGATCAACAGAAAGAAAACAAAGCACCAGTGGGATTGGAATTAGAATATTAGGTGACAGAGAGAGAGACTCCACAGCTGAGTTGAACTTGCGCACTAACCCACTGTGAAGGGAGCATGCCCTCTGAGATCCTTCTGAACATGGATGGACGCTCCCCTAAGGCTCTTTTAGTGGCCTTCCATTGAGGCAGAATAGTGCAGCTTCGGGGATATTTCCTTCCAACTAGAGTGGCTTCCCAAACCCTGGTAGATGTAAGACATAACCACGTGGTCAATAAAGGCTGGAGATATGTTGCAGTGGTAAGAGCACACATGCACAAGCCCCGAGTTTGATCCCCAACACCGCCAGAAAGAAAAAGATAAGCAATGGAACCTCGGGGGTTCCCCCCCGCCCCCCGTTTGTTACCTATCTAAAGATTTTTGAAGTTACTAAAGAATAAGCTACAAGCTGGGCATGGCAGCACATGCCTAATCTCAGTACTTGGGGAGGATGGGGCGAAAGAATTTCCAAGGCCTGGAGGACTCTTCTATAGGAAGAGTCAGTCTCTCAAACAGGCAAACAGCAACAACAAAAAACTCGGTTACAAACCCTAATCTGTAAATGATGCTGTTTTGTTTCTCCTGGTACTTTAGAACTGCTCCAGGCCCCATGAACACAACCCTCGGCTCCAGACTACCTTTCTACAGTTTCCCAGCACACACTTGTCCTGCATGCCCTACCCTCATCTGCCTGCTTCCTTCAAGGCTGTTTGAATTCAACATTGAACATGTTACCCCCTGGGAAGAACATGGCTTACAAGGTGATGGTTAATAACCACCAAATGCTTCAGGAACACACAGAAAATGCTACGTGGGAGTACAAGGGGAAATTAGACTGCAGGTTGGGAGACATCTGAGGATGTATTTGGCGCAGGTCTGAAGGATGAGTGGGAAGAGTTAGTTAGGCAGGAACACCACAGAGACTCAACAGGCTAAAAAATTAGTCACACTGAGACAGAGGCAAAAGCAGAAGTCAAGGCTCTGAGGAAGGGCCCAGTGGCCACAGCACCAAGAGGGTTAATAGAAGGGCCAGGTGACATGGGAGCAAAGCACTTGGTAGCCTTCAGGATTAGGTTTATGCTGTGGTCCAGACCCGTCCTGGTTTTGGGAAGTGCTTGCCAAGCTGGCCCAAGAATCCTTCCTTTGCACATCCTGTGGCTTGTAATAGATGTTTCTGTTTTCTCCTTCATGTCATTCTCTTAAGACATGGACTGTCTTAATTGAACTCATTACATCACATTTGACTAAGAGCTTTTTTTTTTTTTTTTGTTGACCCAAACCAAAACCCTCAATAAAAAGAAGTTATTTCAGGGCTAGAGCTCAGTGGTTAAGAGCCCTGGCTGCTCTTCAGAGGACCGAGGTTCAGTTCCCAACACCCATGTGGTAGCTTAACACTGTAACTCCAGTTCCAGAGGGTTGGACACTTTCACAGACATACATGCAGGCCAAACACCAATGCGCATTAAATAAATACATAAACAGTTATTTCTTGCTGGTTTTGTTACTCAGATGCAGCATAAATTAAGACTAAGTACATAGATTCTTCAGGACCCAAATCTATGGCACTAAAGACCTATTTAATACATCTCAATGCAGAAACACCCACCCCAGAAAATTCTCACTTCAGCAGGCAGAAATGAATTGATCCAGGTAGATGAGTATGGCTGAATTTTCTAGTTTTGAGAAAAGTTTCTAGTTATTCCTTCAAATAAATATATATGTACAGTTTTTCTAATTTATCAATTTAATTTAATCATATTTTCTTCCCCATTAATGTAGGCTATCTCTTTGAAATCAATATTAGGAAGCCCAGGTATGGTCACTCACATATGAAATGCCAGCACTCTGAAGGCTAAGGCAGGAGGATTGCAACAATTTCCAGGTCCGCCTGAGCTGATGAGTGAGACAAAAAAAGTTGGATAGGAAGAAAAAAAGAAAGCTAAAATGGACTCATTCCCCCACAGTGAAAGGCACAGGTGGCCTCTAGGTTTTTTCCAGGGGCAGTAAGAGGACAAGGCACTCCATCAAGCCCACGGCCTCTATTATAGTTTCACTCACCCAAACCTGGACAATTACAAAGTAGAATCTCAAGGTAATGGGAAGGCAACCAAGTACCAGAAAATACACACCAACTTTATTATAACAACAGAAACTTCCAATTTCTAAGAAGGAAAAAAACATGAAACCAGCGCCACCTGGGAAGTGTTACATCACATTACTGTTCTGATGGCTCCTGGCCACACTGAGGGTCACAGAAGACCACTGCCATCACAGCTGCTGCAAGGCCATGCTTTGCCTGCAGCGGCTTTGTTGTCAAGGCCGCAGAGAGAAGACTTTTGAAGCTTTTGGTGTGGAGAGAATCTATCAAAGTAGAGAGCAGAGCCTTGCTTCTCCAACTAGAACAAAACAAACTACGAACTAAGCTAGCAATTTGTCTTCAGTCTGCTAGAGCGCTCTGTCAAGACCCTTCTTCCATCCCCACCAGCATGGTGAGGAAAGGCAGGGGTCAGGGGTCAGGGGTCAGGACACTAGCTCTAGCAGGCTGTTCAGGTGACACGTTGGGCTCCGGTCTCTCTGCTGGTGGTAGTGGGTGTCTTTTCTGGCAGCTGCAACAGCTTGATGTGGGAGGAAGGAGCCGCCCACCCATCACCTCTTCTTGAAGCCGTATTTTTTTCGTTCATAGAACAGGTCTGTTTTAGAGCTCCCCAAATTGACAATTTTTGGGCAACCGTCTCTCTGAAAAACAGAACAGAGTTGTTAAGCCCCTGAAACTGACTTAAGCGATTTCAAATCAAATTTAGCCCAGGAGTAGGAAAAGCATCACTCTTTACCTCAGCACCCCAAGCTTGCAGACCGCTGCCTGGGCCTGTGTCTAACCCCCAACAACTTCCAACAGAAAAAAAGGATTTAAAAAAGACCCAAGCGAGGGGCAGCGGCATACACCTTTAATCCCAGCAAGAGGCAGAAGCAGACTGAGCTCTGTGAGTTTGAGATCTACAAAGCGATTTCCAGAACAGCCAGGACTACACAGAGAAACCCTGTTATCAAAAACCAAAACCCGAAACCACACAAAAAATGTTTTTGCCCCATAAATGTATCCAAACACCTCCATTTATAAACTGGGGGGAGCCTCCCCCTTATCAGTCAGTACTGTCTCTTCTCTAGCTTTATGAGTTTTCAAAGACCATTTCTTAATTTTAAAAATTTTTATTTATTTAGTATGTGTGTACATATACACGCCATGGTGTGAACACAGAGCTCGGAGGACAATGGGACTTGGGGACTGAAGTCTGGTTCTCAGGTTTAGCAGGGAAGGCCTGTACTCACTGGGCAATCTTGTCAGCCCCTCTAAAAAGACCATCTTATAGCTTTTGGGTTAATGGTCTATTCATCTTTCTGGTTATGCTAAACAAAATAAACTAGGTGAGAATGTAGAAATAGCAAGACAAGAAAGGAAAGAAATGTTTCTCAGCCTGAGAAATACAGTGAAGTGGTTAGAGGAAGTGCATGGATTAGACCAAGCATCCCGCATCAGGACAATTCTAGCTCCAATATTACAATGATCTGCAACTTAAAGTCCACTCCTAGCCAACATTAAATTCCTCATTAGAAAAATATGGGTGCTGGGGCTGGAGAGATGGCTCAGCGGTTAAGAGCACTGACTGCTCTCCAAGAGGACCTGGGTTCAATTCCCAGCACCCACATGGCAGCTCACAACTGCCTGTAACTCTAGTTCCAGGGGACCTGACACCCTCACATAGACATACATGGAGGCAAAACACTAATGCACATAAAATAAAAATAAAAATATTAAGAGAAAAAAAAAACAGAAAAAGAAAAATATGGGTGCTGAAGAGATGGCTCAGTGGACTGGCTGCTATTACAGAGAACTGGGTTGGGTTATGCAAAATCTTAGGTTCAACCCCTGTACTGCAAAAATAAATATACATTTTAAACTTCACAAATGTTACTTATTTTTCATATTCTCTGGCTGGGATTGGGGTCAAGGGGATTTGTTTGCTGTCATATCACGAGAATGTTCAAATTAGTCCTCTACTACCAAGGTTTCAAGATAGTGAGTGGTGAGTCTTGGTAGTCTTTCTGTATTATAAGACAGGGTATCTAAGATTAGTTTTATTTTTATTTTTGGTTTTTGAGACAGGGTTTCTTTGTGAACCCCTGGCCATCCTGGAACTCTCTCTATAGACCAGGCTGGACTCAAACTCAAGAGATTCACCTGCCTCTGCCTCCTGAGTGCTGGGGTTAAAGGTGTGTGCCACCAGTGCCTGGCTCCAGCCTGGTTTTAAACTGGCAATTTTCCCGCCTCAGCATACCAAGTGCTAGGATTACAGGCATGCACCACCATGCCTAGCTCGTGATTCTGTTATTTTTGAGGTTTTGAAAAACTACAAATGAGGATACCCAGCTCAGCTTACTAACCTTATTAAATTACCTTATCAATTATAAAAGCTGCAGGAAGATTTCTACACAGGAAAAAGCCTGGGCCCTGCATCTACATGATCATCTGTCTGTAAGGGAGAGAGGCTGGATCATGTCACGGGACTGCTTTGTGTTCCTTGGAAACTAGTGCCGAGTAATGGTGAGCTTGGGCTCAAGTGTCCTCAGAACGTTCCTGTATAATGTGAAGTAGGTGAAGTGACGTCTAAAATAATTCTCAGGGGCAGAATGAGGGACAGGGATCCAAAGGTATCAGATCACAGCACATGCAGGCAGGTGAGATGGCAATTACCACTTAGTAAGGATTCTCTGGTCCCAAGCTCAAGTCTCTAGCTGTAACTGGAATTTCAAGAGTGTTGTATCTACCTGGACCCTTTAGCTTAAGAACTGTGTGAACCTCCTCTTTCCATTACATTAAGTACTTCCCAATTCCTAAGTACCAAATGTCTGGAGTGGGCTTGGGGGTGGGGTGGGTGTACCTTTCTTTGTCTTCCAGGAATACTTTATAGGCACAGTACCAAACACAGAGTATCATCCTTGTATTACAGATTAGGCACTGTTACCAAGACCTGAGAAAAGGAAAGATGGAGGACACGATCCACAGCTGTAGAAGACAGAATGCCATCATCAACTGAGTTCTAGTTGTCTAAGGAACTGGAACGAGCATTTAGGGCAGGAGACTGTTCAAACCACCAACTGAAATTACGATTTCAGACTTCATCGACAATTTTCTCCTTTTCCCAAACAACAGTGGATTCAACAGAGTAAACAATACTGTTTGGCTTCTCTAAAACTCCATCCTGGTCCAGGCCGCCCCTCTGGTGCAGGGACAGGGAAAAACAGCAAGCAGATAAAGGTATTACTGCAGCCAGGCGGTGGTGGCGCACACCTTTAATCCCAACACCCGGGAGGCAGAGCAAGGCGGATCTCTGTGAGTTCGAGGCCAGCCTGGTCTACAGAGCAAGATCCAGGACAGCCAGGGCTACACAGAGAAACCCTGTTCCCCCTCCCCTACCACCACTCCAAAAGATATTACTGCAGCTTTGGGCTGTCCTCTTAACATCACATGCACACACACAGACAAACAGACGCTACAAAGACATTAACCAAACCAAACCGAGCACCGCGGCCTTGAGAACAGAGAGAAGGCCGTTTCCAACAGAAACCATTTGTTTATCCTATGATATAAAAATGCACGCAGGGAGTAAGAGAAGTCTGAAGCTAATCCATGGAGAAAAAGCTCTCAAGTAGGAACTCCAGCTAAATGCCTGAAGGTGGCTTCCCCAATCAACTTCTGCTGGATGTGGTAGGAGACTCGATTTGATGACGTCTTGCTATCTACCTGCTACGTGATAGTTATTCTTACCTTTGCGTATTATTTACTTAATATAGTCATTCAAAACTGAAAGCTCAGCTATCATAGATCATTTTCGGTACCATATGGAACAACTTCCCCTCTCTCCTCAAAGTCCTATTTGGCTTCTGGACCTAGTGGTGGGTGGCATCCAACTGTGGAGTCCTGAGACGGCTCGCTGGGCTGGTTCTCTTTATCATGAGCACACACCAAGGACTGAGAAAAGCACAACATGGTGCGATATGGACACAAGGTTTAGTCAGCCTGGGGCAGAGTATAAAAACGAGGGTGACAATAACCTCAGCTTACATGGTCACATGTTGTGATGAATAAGGGAGAGATTACATCCACAAACCACCTACACTTTGCTCATGGGAATATGAAATTACATATTTTGGGGTTGGGGATTTAGCTCAGTGGTAGAGTACTTGCCTAGAAATGCAAGGCCCTGGTTCAGTCCTCAGCTCTGGGGGAAAAAAATTACTATTTTGTCTTATTCCAGAGTAGGTACTCCAGCAAGCACCCTCTATTAGTCCAATGAGACTCTAACTGACTCCCTTTCATTTTGTTACACAAGAAACAATGCCTTGTTGCTTTGTACCTAATAGTAGTCTAAGAATAAGGTTAAACTTGTCTGTAGCCAGACCTACAAGCCACCTCACTGAGGCTTGCTAAGAGAATTGAAGGCTATGGATACATTTTCTTTCCACACTAGACACCTTCAAGAAACAAAAACATAAGGAAGACCAGCAATTAATTCATTACACACCACCACTCTTTTTAAAGCTGGTATCAACTACAACTATCCTTAATTCAATTTTGCCATTATAGCCACCCAAACTGTCCTTTCTCCCAGTAGATTCGAGAGAACTGAGTTGGACATGTGACCCTAGTACCTAGGAGGCTGGGGCAGGAGGACTGCTGTGAGTCTGAAGCACTAAACCCCTATCCCTCCCCAGAGAGAACAACCAATCTGGGTGTGCTGTTCAAATCTGCAGTCTCTGCAGTCAGGAAGCGGAGGAAGCAGGATTTCCAGTTCCAGGCCAGATTGGGATACACACTTGATGCCTGTCCAGCATGAAAAAGAGGAAGACAGAACTATTAAGTGTCTATTAAACACCACCTATATGCTCTTTATAACTCACAGACAAGGATGTTATATGTGGATAAGAATAATAATGAGCCAGGCAGTGGTGGCGCACACCTTTAATCCCAGCACTTGGGAGGCAGAGGCAGGTGGATCTCTGAGTTTGAGGACACCCTGGTCTACAGGGCGAGATCCAGGACAGCCAGGGCTACACAGAGAAACCTATCCTGAAAAACAAAATAAAACAAACAAACAAACAAAATCACACATAAAAAAGAATAATGATGAAGCCAGGCAATGGTGGTACATGTATTTAATCCTAGCACTTGAGAGGCAGAGGTGGGTGAATCTCTGAGCTCCAGGCCAGCCTGGGCTACAGAGTGAGTTCCAGGATAGCCAGGGCTATAAAGGGAAACCCTGTCTCAAAAAAACAAACAAAAATAATAACAAGCTGACAAGATGGCTCAGCAGGGATGCTGGCTAATTTTACGTCAACCTGACACAAACTAGAATCACTGTGAAAGAGGGAACCTCAACTGAGAAAACCCACTAGATTGACAGTGGTGCATTTTCTTGGCTGATGATTGATGTGGGAGAGCCTACTGTGGGTAGTGCGCTACCCATGGGCTGGTGGTCCTGGATGCTGTAATGAAGCAGGCTGAGCAATCCATAAGGGAGCAAGCCAGTAAGCAGTGATCCTCCCTGGTTTCTGAGTCAGTTCCTGTCTCCAGGTGCTTGCTTTGAATTCCCTCAGTGATGCACTGTTACCTGGAGGGGTAGGAGAAATGAACCTCTTCCTCCTCAGTCTGCTTTTGATCATGGTGTTTCATCATAGCAATAGAAACTAGGACAGCAGGGAAATGTACTTGGCAAGCCCAACATTTGAGTTCAACTCCCAGGATCAGAGTGTAAAGGGAGAATTGATCTCCGCAGTTGTCCTTTGATCTCTACGCATGCCCATTCACCCACACATCAAAGAACCGAGAGAAGGTTCTCCAGACTGCTGACACTGATAAAGACTTGCTTCTCTTGCATTCTGCCTTTGATACAGAATAACCGCTCTTGATTAGACCACACCCAGTTTGGCTCAGAGGCTTGAAGAAATTACGTACTTGACTAGCTGAACATCGCAATCTCCATAGAACAGAAGAGACGGCCATGGATGGCAAAACGGTCCAAAGAAAAAGGAAGAAAGGTCAGGTGGGAAGCTCAGTCTGTACTCACATCCTTCTCCTGAATGGTGCACTCTTTACAATAGTAGGCATCGGAGACTCCGGGACCTCCACAGATCACACACCGGCCCTGGTAAGACCCATAGTTACACTCATCACATATTCGAACCAGGGTGCATGGTCGCACATAGGAATCGCAGATCACACATTTGCCATCACCTGCAAAGAAAGAAGAGTGGAGTTATATTCGCTAGCAATTCCTTCCTAAAGCTCTTTTCCCTGTCCTGTGGGGGAAATGACTAGTCTCCTTTTGACAGTGACTTCGGACCTCTCCTCTATCTTGTCAGCATAAGCCTTATCCTCTATCTACCTCAGCTTCCTTCAACATATACAAGTGTTAATTCATATATGGAAAGAGTCTGGAATATTATCTGAGAGGCTGTAAGTCCACATGGTTATTGTCAACAAATCCCATGCCTCCTTGCACACAGTGTGGCCTGGGAAGGTTCACACTATTCTGACAGTTCCTACTGTCCAAAGGTAGACATTTTTTTTTTTTGAAAACCTAAGTATGAAATATTAAACATGTGCTAGCTAAAGAGGGTGGACGGTGGGGGAGCCTTCGGTTTGCAGCCAGACAGTCGGGGTTCGCTGCAGCCTGGCATATCTAGTCAATGCTTCTTGGCTGTTCCTCTGGAATTAACAGGCTTGTTGGCTCTTCAGAGGGCAGAGAGGGCAAGGTTGTGAGAGGGCATGTTCCACTTACATTTTTCACACAGTCTTCCGATAGCTGCAAGATCAAAGACGGTAGAAAGTCGAGTTAAAATTAAAGTTGTGATTCGGCAGGGAAGTTGTTCCTCAAGCTGAGGGGGAGATGGGGCAGGAAGCTGTGCAGGATAGCTGTCTTAAGTCTCCTTTTCCTCCCTCTCCACCGCCCCCCACCCCCCACTTTGAGACAGATTCCCGATATGGAGCTGGGAACTTCTTAGGTACTTCAGGCCAGCCTCGAACTCGCAGCAACCTTCCTGCCTTCAGCCTCCCTGGGGATGGGATTGCGGTCGTGACCTAGCACGCCCGGCCCATGCCCCTAACTTTTGCTCTGCACCAAAGCCCTGTCCCCAAAGCCGTCCTGAACCCTCCCGAGGCCCAAGCAATCTGGGGCGGCTTCTCCAGACCCGGCACCGACGCTCCCGCCAGCTTCAGGCGCAGATGCGCGCTCCCGCCCTCTTATCAGAAGCCACAAACCGGTGCGCGCTCCCAGAACACCCGGGGGACCCTAAGGCGCGAAACGTGGAGCCCCCGAACCAAGGCCTTAAAGAGGAGGCGAACCCCCCAGCCCCCCAGTTCCTAATACCATCCCGCGCAGACGGAAGGGATCGGGGGACCAGCTCACCTACACCAGCCTGCTTGCGGCAGAAAATCAAATCTGGATGATGTTTAGCCATTACTCTTTTCCAAGCCGGCGGCCGGAAGCTGAGAGAACTTCCGCACGACCTCTAACCTACACCCACTTCTCCATGATTGGCCGTCCACGTGCCCATCAGCCTTTGCCCTCCAGCTCACCAAATCCCGCTCGTGCTCGCGAGAGTTCCCTCAGCGTGAGCTCGCTTGGTCCTAGCAGGTGCATCCAAGCCTTTTTTTTTTCTTCCCGATTTGAACGCATAATCCGACATTGGTTCGTGGATTTAATCCCAGTCTTTAATCCCAGCACCCGGGAGCCACAGGCAGGCGAATCCCTGTGAGTTCGAGGCCAGCCTGGGCTACCGAGCGAGTTCCAGGACAGCCAGGGATGTCTCGAAAAACAAACAAAATAAAAACAAAAACAAAATTTTCTGCATGTTACTTTTTGTGCTCGGGGTTGAGGGTAGGGGCCTCATGCATGCTTCCGCAAAGTGTGTGGGTTAGGGTTTGACGTGAAGGATGACCTTGAACTCCTGACTCCCCTCCAGCTTCCATTCCCAAGTGCAAAAACGACAGGACGGCCCCGAAAGCCAACTTGGCCGTCTCGCTGCGGCGTCTCCTTTCACGCCGGGTTCCCGCCCCGGAAGTCCCGCCCACTGCGCTCTCTGGACTCGGGCTCGGGGGGCGAAGAGCGGAGCGTCACCGTGACGCGCCTCTCTGGAGGCCACGCCCCTCCCCACGCCTTCAAATACGCCGACGGGGACGTCACTTTCACGCGACCTCATCTTTGTCAGTGCACAAAATGGCGCCCTACAGCCTGCTGGTGACCCGGCTGCAGGTGAGCGAGCTCGGAGGTGTGGGTTCTCGGGGGCGGGGAGCCTCCTGCTCTGCCTGCGGCGGTAGGCGAGGCCAGGCGAGGCGGGCTCGCCCTGGCACTGACTTTCCGCGGACCTGACCCGGTGGCGGGCCGATCGCCCTTGTCCGCTCCCGCGCTGTCCTAGGTCAAGGCGTCCCTGGCGCCGCCAGTTCCCCGTCCCCGTCCCCGCCCGGCGGGGAGCTGGAGTCTAAGCAGCCTCAGCCTGATCAAGGGGTGGGGGCACTCCTTATTTCCTGAGAGCCGAATTGCCCGCTGCCCTGGGGTGGTTTTCTGCTCCTCAAGGTGATGACAAGGTGACTGAGGGGCGAGGTGGTTGTGGGTTCATCTAAACCGGGGGTGCTTGGAGCTCTCACTTCCCATCATCGGCAGAGACTGGCTAGCTGTGTGTATGTGTGGTTGCCGGGCCTGGATTCTGCAGAAGCTGTACCCAATGCGACATTTTGAAAACACTCCGCCGGGTCAGAGATGTAGGAAGGGTACAGTATTCCGGGCCCCAGGATCGTAAATAGTCATGATAACAGTGGTTTCTCACCTCTGCACCAGATGTCAAGACTGTTGACTAGCATTACTTGATTTATATATTCATCTGGCGACTAGATGTCAGATGATTTTTTTCCAACTTGATAGATAGTAAAACTGCACCAAAAAAAGTAGATGAAAGTTCTGGCTTCCACAGTGTCACCAAAGTGCGGTATCCTGAGCAGTGACCCTGCACACCCGCGCTGTGCTCCTTGTTCAGGACAGCCTAGTGTCACTGAACTCTGAACCAGGGTGTGGTCGTTTGTATTTGTCAGAGTACCAAGTCAAGTACTTCGAATTCACAGTTAGTTGCTTTTCAGATACTAGGTGGAAAGATGAGAAGACTCAACCGTTTGACCTTGACTCTTCTGTAGTGAGACATCTAGAAAGTTGATCATGACTGGCAGGTGGCTTTTCACTCTTAACTTGATAATCCTAGGAAGGTATAATATTAACTTTACTGTAAAGTGTGTATTTTGTCAATACAAATAAAGCAATAAAATACCTGTGGACATTTTCGGGTAACCTATGATTACTTTTGTGAATCTGCTTTGTACCAAGTGGCACAACTTTTAACATAGAATTAATTTTTAAAAAGTTATGTGTTGTACTCTCAGGAAGTATTATCATTTGAAGTTTTTCTTTTTGTCCCATTGCTTAAAATCAAACTGTAAAATAAACTCTTCATTTCATTTATCTGAATAAATCACTTGAGTTTTGGCCAAGGCAGGGGATTTGCAGCTAGATTATCTCTTAAGTTAATTTGATTCTTTAGATAGTGTGGGGTGTTTTGTCCTGATCCTGTTGTCCTTTGATTAAGTGGAGTCAGGCAAAGATTATTTAATGGAATAAATGACTTTTGAGTTTGGAAGAAAGGCATAATGTCACATTTGGACCTTGGAAAGTATGAGTGTTAGAAGGGTGTAGAAAGAAATCTGGGCTACAGTTCATGTCCTCCTCTGATCCCATGACCTTGTAAATGTAACTTTCTATGTTCTTTGGCTGTTGGTTGGGGATGGTCTTCATTAAATGTTTATCGAGCACTTAATTCTTAATGGGGAATTAGGATGTGTTTACAATGATGTAGTTCAGCCTCTTTTACATGGCGAATCTAAGACCTTGAGAGCCTGGATGACTGCTGGGGTCAGGATTAAAAGCCAAAGTCCTCTTACATGTTCATTCAGCTGAGGTGAACGAGTAGTGTTATATCCTTTGCAATATACCACTGCATCCAAACAGTGGGGCTGTCTCACGTAATGCCTCATGACTCTGTACTCTGAGAACATCTTTTATTCATCTCTTTTATACTTGCATGAATTTGAGAAGTGATGGTTAATACCTTAGTAGCTGTATCTGGTCAGTCTCTAGTATGCACTGATTACTTCATAAACATCACTGACTTTTTCTTTTCCTCTACCTTGTTTTGGTTTCCTTTTTTGAGACTGGTTCTTACTGTGTGCCTTGTGCTGGCCTTGAACTTTCAATTCTCCTGCCTTAGCCTCCTGAGTGCTTGGAATACAAGCACATGCCACCATGGCTAGTAGAAAAATTGGTAAGAAGAAAACCTCAGTCTGTTTGTTTGTTTGTTTTTTTCCCCAGTGTGTTTAAAGTTTTATTTTGTGTTACATATATGGGTGTTTTGCCTGCATGTATGTATATGCACCATGTGCATGTATGCAGTGTTCACAGAAGCCAGAAGAGAGAATCAGATCCCTGGGAACTGGAGTTAGAGATGGTTGTGAGCCACCATATGGGTGCTGGAAGTCAAACCTGTGTCCTCTTGGAAGAGCAGCCAGTGATCTTAACCACTGAGCCATCTTTTCAACCTCCGCTCTGTACCATTTAAATCAGGGAATAACATGACTGATGATACTTGAGGAAAAGAATCCATGAGTTGCTGTGTAAGGTGCTGGACCATCAGAAGTCAGAGAGGAGGCAGGGAGACCTGGGATCTGTGAGACTAACACGCTGTGTGTTTGTTCAAACATGTGTTTGCTGTAGATGTATATGTGTGCAGGTTTGAGATTAGCCGGGATACATGAGACCCTGACAATGGGTAATGAAAAAAAGATTTCTGAAGTTTTCTTTTCTTTTCTTTTGCACATTTATTTTGTGTTGAGGGAGATGTATGCACATGCCACAATGCATGTGCACAGCAGAGGACAACTTGTGTGAGTCAGTTCTCTATTATCATATGGATTCTGGAGATTAAACTCAGGTCATCAGGCTTGGCAGCAAGTACCTTTCTTTATCTTCTGAGCCATCTTGTCGATCTCAGTTTCTTGTTTTATGAGTAAGCCCTTCCCAACACTGAAAATAGGCACAGTGTACCTATAAAAGCTGTATTGGAGTTCTGGAAGGCATGGAGATTAGCTTTCTTGAGTTCATTTTACAAAGCTTAGTCTGAGCAAGAGGTTACCAGTTTTGGAACCAGGTGTGGAATGATCTAAACAGTAGTTAAGATCCTCAGATTCCTCCTCTGTAAAATGGGCATATTACTTTCTCCCAAGGTCGTCATGGCATTGTGTGTATCAGATACTTGAGGCAAATCAGGTGTGGGATGTGGCATATAAGATACGTTAGTTTCCGTCTCTAACTCCCATCCCCATATACCTCCTTCCCTAGCCAATTTACAGCAGTTATTTTTAGGTCCTTCATTTAAAAGATAGCATCTGGGGCTGGTGAGATGGAAGAGAAAAAAGATTCCTATAAGTTTTCCCCTGACCTTCACATGTGCACACATACATGCAAACACACAATAAATAAATAGAATTACAGGTGTTTACCGCCACCTAGACTTTATTTGGGGGGGGGGGGATTTATTTGTTTTGTTTGATTTAGAGTTGGTGTGTGTGTGTGTGTGTGTGTGTGTGTGTGTGTGTGTGTGTTCGAACCCTGGTTTCTCTATGTAGCCTTGGCCACCACCACTACAGATGCCGGTGTATTTATTTTTATTGTATGTGTGAATGTTTTGCCTGTAGGTGTGCATATACACCAGTGCATGCCTGGTGCCCAGGGAGGTCAGAAGAGGGGGTTTGATCCCCTAAGACTGGAGTTACAGAGGTTGTGAGCCACCATGTGGGTGCTGGGAATCAGGGTCCTCTGCAAGAGCAACAAGTGATCTTAACCACTACTGAGCCAACTCCATCCCACAGCTTTTCTTTTTCTTTCTTTCTTTCTTTCTTTCTTTCTTTCTTTCTTTCTTTCTTTCTTTCTTTCTTTCTTTCTTTCTCTCTCTCTCTCTCTCTCTCTCTCTCTCTCTCTCTCTCTTTCTTTCTTTCTTTCTTTCTTTCTTGTTGTTTCCTCCAAGATAGGGTTTCTCCTATAGCCCAGGCTGTACTGGAACTCACTCTGTAGACCAGGCTGGCCTTGAACTCAGAGATCTGCCTGTCGGTATAATGTATAAACAATCCTTTGGGACATCACTCCATTCGTCAACTTAGCTGTAAAGGCTGACTTCAAATAAAGGCCAGAGAAAGACCACTCTTGCTACAAGGGAAAAGTAATTTAAATACAATAGTTCAGGGCTGAAGAAAGCTGCAGACGAATTTTCTAGGGCCTCAAAACAAACTCAGCCCTCTGGTTGGCACCCAGATTTGGTAATGAATGTTTAGTCTAGCCACTGCTGTTGTTGATGTTGGAGCCACCAGTTCAAGCCTGGGGAACAGGAATCCTGTCAGCTGCCATATTCTGAGTTCAGTTCCTCCCACCTGTCACAGACCTGGGTCTTCTTTGTTTTTGTTTTTGTTTTTTGAGACAAGATTTCTTTGTGTAGCCTGGCTGTCCTGGAACTCACTCTGTAGACCAGGCTGGCCTTGAACTGAGAGATCCGTCCTAGATTTTCTTTTATCAGGGTTTACCTACTTGGCCTTCACAGCAACCCTAAAATGTCAACATTCCCAGCCTGTTTTTGTAATGATGAAATTGAGGCCCACAAAGGTTAAGTAATTCATCTGAGGTCACAGCACACTATAGAGCCAGATGTTGGACTTTAGAACTTGGTCTTTTGACCACTTAGCCAACCTTCCCCCCCCCCCCCCCCCCCCCCCCCCCCCCCCGAGCCCACACCCCTGGGGGTAGGGAATAGAAGCCAGATCTCTGGAGAGTGGGCTGGATATGGGGTACACAGTTCATTTGGCCCCCGCTGGTTTTAGTGTATGTCTCTTGGGACTGTGATTGCCTCCTGCCCCAGATACCAGTGAGGTGGAG